GTCCTATAACAATAAAATAGCATTCCTGGAATCCCTGTCTGTTTCTTGACCTGGATGACCTCAAAGGGCTGGCAGCAAACAAGTGTTTTTTTCCCCTTGGTTCTTAAACATCACAATCATTTAAAGTGACTTAACTACACTTTTTAATGTGTATGTGTTTATGTGTGTTTACTTTGTTGATTTATCTTTGTAACTTCAGGGCTATAGGCATAGAAACATGTTAAAATCCTGAAATAAAGCAATGAAAAAACCACTTCCACAGATTTGCAAAAGAAGCTAAACAAATGTGTCTGGATAGAAGTAAGCAAAGGAAACTACCTTTTAACCTGTTTATAAATGTTTGGGTGATAGAAGTATACAAATGTGCAAATTAATGAATTATCTGCAACTGCCTGTACTTCTTAACTTCTGAGACTACATATGAATTCTCTGTCACTTCTGAATTTTGAATTTTAGTCCTAGAAAAGTTTGTTTTTGATGCATATCAGTTCTACACCTTCTGAATTCTAGATGGAGGCTGAATTTCCAATGAGCTATGGCTGTAAAACACCCGGTTGTCATGCTGCGAAATGCCATGTTCCCAATAAACCTGGCAGGGACTCCATTTTGATGAATGGCTTTGACCAGAAATTAATTTCCCTGATGTTAAATAATTGAAGTGAACCGCAGGCCATGCCAAAGTAGACATACCCTTTTACATAGATATCACTTGATTTTTGTCCTGTGAAGATATTCTCATCCTCCAGAATGACATCTTCAGTATTCCAGATTATTACTCTTAGTTCGTAACTGAGGAGGAGGGAGAGAAAACAAATTGCAAAAAATCAAATGTGAATGGAATATAAAGTCACTCAGGAAGAATGCTGTTTGGCAATCTATAATCCATCACTCTGGTCACATGTTTGAAGAAAGCTCCTAATATTCCATTATTTTAACAGACTAAAGAGTATTTTTTGAGAAACGGAGTTCATTGCCCCTTTGCTATCAATATTTCTATAAATCACTTTCATGGTTAACTGCTGGAATGAGATGACTTAAATCTTGTAAGCACATATACAGACAAAATAAATGTGGTCCTCTTGTAGGATCACATTTCAGCTCCTATCCCATCTTGCCTTTTCATTGGCTATGTTGGAATGGGACTACAGGTCTCAGAGCTCCTGCCCATTACAGCTACACAGTACTGGTTTTACACCATTGCCATTGTTACGGTCTTCTCTCCAGAGAATCCTCGGAACTGTAGTTTGTAGAGTACTGTTCAGAAATGTACAAAATGGATGAGTTGTAGCATTTCAGGTGCTGTTAGACTACAACTCCCATCTTCCTTAATACCTGGCTAGGTTGGTGGGGGCTAATGGAAGTTGGAATCCAACACCATCTGAAAGGTTCCCAATTCCTCTGCTGGAAAAGATTCCTATTAAAATTACAGCTCCTAGCAGGGATCAGTTTATGCCTGTAGAATTAGTGGACAGACAGATGTATTTCGAAATAGATGTTTTTGAACAAGACTCCCCACCCCACCCCTTGTTATGATCATTTGGAGTGTATGGTGGAGATGGAAGAAATGCCATGAACATTTTAATGAGCATTCTTCAACACTCTGCCTTTTTTGTGATTTTTCAAAATACTCCTTTAAAAAGTCTTGGCCTGTTCAGAAAGCTTTGACCGAACAGGTCATGTTCACTTTCCCGAACATGCCTTTATGGTTTTTAATTAACTATGGTGATCATTCTTGTCATCACTTCAGTCAGCATTGTTCATGCACTAAACTGTGATGTCGCCAGATCTAAGCAGCCTCACAGTATCCTGCTGACATCACATTCAGTACGTGCTTCCTGTCCTGATGAGCTGGGATCTCCAGGAAGAAGACAGTAACCTTGACTAAACAACAACAACAACAACAACAACAAAATGTTTCACAAAGCAAGAGCAAATAGGGAAAAAATTGGAAATGAATAAATAGCACTAGCCGGAGTTAGTATCTTTTAGGGTTTTCTTGACATTTCCGTGAAAATATCACTTTTGTTGGATAACCAGTGATGCTTAATTTCACCTAACTTACAGAATATGCTATATCTGAGCACTTAAATTCACTCCAACATAGCTTCTAACATTATGAATTAAAGATTTGGACTGGGGTATACAATATTTTTGCATTATTAAATATAGATCTTGCTTGCTTAAAAATGGCTGAATTTAGATTAGAACCTTTGGTGCAAATTGTATGCTATGAAATTTTTTTTAAAAGCCCTTCATTAACTCTTCA